TGACTTTCTGCCACCAGTATGAAACGACTATAGCACCTAAAATTTTTAAAAAGCCACTAAATTATGATTTACCACTTCATCATCAAGTGTAAAATTAATACACCAAAAGTCAACACTTCCTTACCTTGTACACTGACAAAAAAGACGAACAGACAGACGAGCAATGGAGCTGGTAGCCCCATACGTAAGTAATCCCAGAATAATCGCCATGATACAGTTTCTGGTCCAGCTCCCTTGTCTTCGTCTTCTTCGATCATTTCACGTCCAGTAAGCTCATCGAGGTCATCGTGAAATGGCAACAGATTACTTCTGTCGGTGGTAACACCTTTCAGATCAGCAGTTGCGTAATTTTCAAGCATTTTACTGATAGATTTGTCTTTGCTGATGTGTTCATACGAGCCATGGTCTACGATGCGACCTTCCTTCAAGACAACGATTTCGTCAGCTTGATGAAGGTGTTGAAGTTGATGTGTAACAAGGATTCTTATTTTACCAAATAGTTCTTCACAGATGCATTTGTCAAAGATGTGTTTTCCAACCTTGGCGTCTACTGCACTTAGTGGGTCATCCAGCAAGAAGATATCAGCATCTGAGTACACTGCGCGTGCTAAGCCAACTCTAGCACGCTGACCACCGCTCAGGCTGACACCTCTTTGGCCTATCATACTCAGATCTTCTTTTGGGAACCGACAGATGTCTTGAGAAAGATCACATACTTCTAAGACTCTCTGATATCTCGTCTCTTGGTACGCTTTACCAAATAAGATGTTATCACGAACTGTTCCTGTGAATATCCAAGGTGTTTGACTTGCATAAGCTATTTGTCCTTTAGTGGAAACGTTCCCTGATTTGATTGAAATCTGTTTCAAAATTGTCATGAGTAAAGTGGATTTGCCGCTCCCTACAGGACCTATTGCCATAACCAAGTGAGTGGGACTTACATTYAAAGAAMTATCRTTCARCGCGCATYGTTTTGAGTCAACWTTCCAATCACTGCATACTTGAGAGAGCATGAYCGTGGGCTCATTGTCATAATTGCCGTGATCATCCGATCTTTTGGAGGATTCCGCACTCTTTTCCGAGAAAGTGTAGTCTGAATTCCTTGAAGATTTGCTGGGCTTTTTTTCGAAATAAGTCATAAAGTATTCGAAAATTTCTTTTCCTATCCATTTTCTTTGCGACGTTTCCTTCCTTTCTTCCTCCTTCGCAGAACTCTGGCTATAGACCGTTAATAGTTGTTCAATTCTAAAGATTGAAGCCAAAGACTCGCTCATTCCTGAAGTGCTCATCAGTTGTAAAGACGCTGATTTATTGATTGCATCCAATGCTAGAGCAAGGGTAAAGATCTTTGCAGCATTAACATGGATGCCAGAGTATACCATGGTCACTACTGAAACCAGGGTTGCGACTACGGAGAATGTTAATAGCTTGACTCTTGGGAAACTGAGAATACAATTCTTGATACGTGTGACCTTTATCTCTTCCCTAAGAATATCAGTATATTAATTACTTTAAAAAAACATTAAGTGGCACTCTCGCTAAGAGCGGTCCGATGAATTTGGGTTCGCAAAATCGATTCTCTTTATTTTTTTGAGTRAAAAGCCTTTGGTATACATCAACTAGAAATAAAGCTTTTTTTTGAAATTATATTTTTGGGCTTCGTTACACGCCAAAACACATTTTGCCCGTGTGTGGCTATTTGGAGAGCTCACTCGATGGTTGCACTTGGGTAGAATTAAAAAAGCTGCCGACTCAAAACTATTATGTATTTCCAAATTTTAGCTACACTGTTAACTTCAGATACTTTTCATCTACTCTTCAAAGAAGATTGAAAGTATTTAGTTRAAACATAAATTTATTGGACTGCCTAAAGCACATCCCTGTTTCGAGCTTTCATCGAGGCGTCAAAAATGCACTAAAAATATGATGTAAAATTTCGAAAAAGGGACCTCAAACTGAGCTAAATTATACTTGGCTTTCAAAATATACTCTTATTKTTACAGGATCAGAAGTGAAACCTGCGGTTATCGAGCTGGTTTTGTCGCGAGCGAAAATTTATCGAAGTCCGTGATCGACAAAATGTGCATAATTTCTAACAAATTATGCTGTCGAATTTACATGCGCTTAAAATGATATACGGTAATTCTGGCTAGAAATGTGCCTTAAAATCAGATAACAAATGTCTGAGCTAGTGAAAAATGAAAAGTAAAAAG